ACGTCCAGTGAAGTATACATAATGGCATACTTTTGACCATTCAGAGGACGTCCAATTCTGGAATATATTTGGACGTCGAATACTGGACATTCAAAAAACGTCCAGGATTATATTTCCATTGAGACCACATCCCCACTTTTTTACAGAACCGCAACTCACCACACACTATTTTATATTATTAATAATTTGTATTATTTTAGCAAATCGCTATACACCATTTATTTATTATTAAAAATCGCTTGATCTGAGCAGGAATCAAACTCATGACACATCCATTATAGTTTTACTCTTTCAATCGCTAGACGAGCTCGACCAAGGAACCACTTGAAAACTTTTTACTAGATACAGTTATAATTGAATAAGATTTCAAACTTCCGCTGATAGAATTAAATGCAATAGATTCAATTTGTCAATTTTTAATGACCAGTTATATTAAAAAAAAGAAGTATATATAGATGGGTATTATCTGGTAGGCTTAATAAATAATGACCAAAGATGGATGTCCACTGGACGTCAAAATACTACTGAACTTAAAATTAAGTCCAAAAACAGACGTTCTTTGGGTATCGATATTTAGCTGTCAATTTAATTAGCATAAACGGACGTACACTGGATGCCCGGATACCCTCAAATAGATCTAAAGTGGACGTCCATTGGACTATGTGTGCATAAACGAATATTTAGAAATAGTACTTATTTAAGTATGCACCAATATTTCCAAAATCAACTCCAGTATGATTCATTCGAGAAATGTAAATATGAATGGGCAAAACATCTTTATATTGACATAATTGTAACTTACAATTTAGCCATAATAAAGGGATTTTGCCCACTTTGACCAATCCTAATTGAAATACGCGAATTTATTATATTTTTTTAAATATAATTTCAAAGTAAAATAAACAAAATCTGTAGTTCATTGTTTATTAAATTTATTTAAAAGAAGAAAAACATATATTTCACAAAATACAATACCTACATATGAAAAATAAAATGTCAAAAATGATTAAATCATTATACTTAATATTTATGCATGTGATAAAATTCTTAGTTTCTTAATAACTTTTTTGGCACATTTTATATCTGTATTAGAATACCTAAGTGTGTAAAAATCTTTATCTTATTACTACACAAAACAAACACCAAAAAATATCACTTAACATTGCTCACGTACTAAACACAACTTGGACTCACTTTGACAGATAACATAATTTTGAGTGATACACAACTTATTTTTGCACATGCGCGTTACAAAACGGTACATTGAAAACACCAAGCTGTCGCTTCTCCTTGATCGGTATTCTCGGCTTGTACTCAGACAACGGCACTAATTTTGTTGGTGCTAATAGGGAACTCACTAAATTTGACACCTTTTTATTAGAAAATTCTGAACCTATTTGTGGTTCAGTATCAAACTTAAATATTAAATTTCATTTTGTTCCGGTATATTGTCAAAATTTTTGGGGATTGTGGGTAGAAGGTGTGCGCAATGTCAAACATCATTTACGTAGAGAAGTTGTTGACTGTTTATTAACCTATGAAGATTTTTACACATTCTTGGTACAAATCGAATCTGTATTAAATTCTGGTCACCTATTTCCACTCTGTTCCGAACCTTCAGACCTCTCCGCTTTGACGCCAGCTCATTTTTTAATTGGAAGATCACTATACGCTATCCGAGAGACCGACCTGAAGGAAATTCCTGGTAATCGGCTGAGTTTGTATCAGCACATAAAGAAAATGCAGCAACATTTTTGGGATAGATGGAGCAAGTATTATATTAGTCAATTACAAACTCGCTCCAAATGAAAAACTAAGAATGACCAAGTCTTAAAAGTAGGACAACTTTTGGTAATAAAAGAAGAATACATGCCTGTATTACAATGGTGTCTTGATCGTTTTACGGAGATTACATTTGGAACCGATGGCATTTCTCGAATTGCCATTGACAAGACTGCGCAGGGTGTCACCAAAAGAGCCATTTCCAGAATATGTCCACTGCCTGTATTTTCAATTGAAAGTTAAGGACTTTCAAGGCCGGGAGTATGTCAAGTTTGCTTATTGATATACGAGCCGACGAGCCGCCACTGTTACTTTGTTACTATAGAAATAAGTAGAATGTAATGTTAGTTATGAATATGAAGACTAGAGATAAGGAGACGAATTGACATGCTCAAAATACGGTCCATGGAGACTACACAAGGAGCACGCACTCCATGTATAATAAGCGTACTGTGTTAAACAGAGTATTTTAAGAGGGCGCTAGTGTTCCATAAGTACCAAAATAGCATAAGAGAATGAGGCGGTAGTTTGAAATAAAATAAATCATTCTAAATAATTATTAATTAATTAATTATAACTCTAATTATATTTATTTAATTTAAAAACATTTGACACGTGTTTACGTTAATTAAATAATCGGTTACTTTATTTTCACGCTTTATTTATACGATAAAGCGCGGACATACTCTGGCAAATGCCACACTTGAGTGCGTGCTTCTTGTGTAGTGTCCATGATACGGTCCCAAAAGTCACACGTCAACTGCGCTTTTATAATTAACCGCATGGGCGCTGGTACGGTTTACGTAGTTGAAAATACATGGCTTCTTATGGGAATTATACATAATTATGTCAAAATAATAAAAATAAACTTGTTTATAGCTAAATAAAGCACAGAACATACTGTTGTATTTATTTTTAAAGAAGTCTTTAATTGATACAATATTTACTATTTATTCCTATTTAAGTAAAATGCAAATTATTGATGATAAGTCTTGAAATTTGATGGGTAGGGCTAATTATTTTTTAATTAAAGCTTAATAAGGCTGAGGGCATACTAAAACACGGTTTAAATAAACATATTTAGTCAGGGATTTTAAAAAATTTTATGAAAATAATAAAAATTAAATTGTTTATTGCTAACTAAAGCACAGAAAATACTGTCGATTTTAATTATTGTAAATAAGTCTTTGTTTTAATTGCTAACTAAAGTACAGAAAATACTGTTGGTATTAATTATAAATGAGTCTTTATGTTAAACATTATTTACTATTCATTATTTAACTTTATCTAAATAAAATGAAAATTGGGTATGACCAAATTTGAAAAGGTTTGTTAAATGGTGAAATTTGGTAAGAACAGTTCTGTGGTAATTTTATATTCGACAACTACAATTTCATCATTCTGGTGAATAGTTTCTTCAGCAATAGGTTCTAGTATTTCCTTTCTTTTTTTTATTTTAACAAATTCAGTTCGGTTCGATGGTGGTTTCGTCTTTTCCTAATACTGGACAAGTATGAAGGGAGATTCGGGAATATACATGGTATTGCTTCGTAATTTAATCTCGGCCTTCCCCTTTTTATTTTGTTAACAGAACCATTAGTTAAAATAGTCACATCAAATTTTAAAATATCATCTTCTAAAAAGTGTAGCTCGCAAACAGAATCGTAACTAGACAGTACTTTATCAGCCCTAGGAATCACATGCTGCCATTTTTTTTAAACATTTAGGATCCTTTATTTCAGCTTATTTTTATTATTTTCACTAAATTTTACAAAAATCACTTTAATTTCCATTGACTTGCATAGAAAATAGACGTCGTTATTTTGCCACCCGCCAACTACAGTAGTTTTTTAAAACTCCATAAAAATAGGGACGGAAATTTGAAATTTGACCAAGGCCGATTCGCCTCCTTATCTCTAGTCTTTATAGTTATGAATTAATGTCAATACATATTGTCACCTATTAATTATATAAATAAACGGTTTCCTCTGAATTCATTTCTTTAAAAGTAACCAGCGCCCTTCACACGCAACCAGGAACAAATTATTTTATTTTCCGTCCTGAATTTTCAGGTGGTCCTTTGAACTTAAAAATAATTTTATTGAAGAATATAACCTCTATTGAAACTATGTATTAATATTATTTACAGTTCACTAAATTAACGTTTCGTTTTGTATAATCATTTTAATTGAATTTATTCTATAATCTTTCATTTAAAATAACATTTTTAAAACATGATTTTTAAAATCTTACAACTTTATTCTTAAAATTGTTAGTGAGCGAACAATGGTTTTTTCATTACCTTTGTATATTATCTAAAAAGTACAATGAGCAGGATCATACAATTCTTAATCTTTTTCTAGAGATTATCTAATAAAAATAAATTATTAAATGAAACAGGCTTGAGTAAAATGTTACACGTTTCTGAAATACAAAAATTATTAATGGCTATAATTTTTTTACTGTCTATTATTTTACTAAATTCGACAAACGTTTTTGATGTAATAATATGTATCTATAAGCAAACAATCAGTTCAATAAACTTTGTCAGTGGTGTCCAAAAACAATTATTTTGAATTTAATTTTAAATTTTTTGATGTTTTAAGTAAATCATGTACTTATGTTGGAAACTTATAAAGGGATTGGTTTTTGAGATATTTGCTCTCAAAGTTGGATACTCTTTATTTAGTTCCCAACAGAAGTACATTATTTGTTTAAAACAACTCAAAAACTTTAAATTTATTTTGGTTTTAATTTAAAATTATAATCCAAGTATTTCCGAATTATACTGAGTAATAAAAAAAATATAGCCATTAATAATTTCTGTATTTCAGAAACGGGTAATATTTTATCTATGCATGTTTCATTTTATCTTCTTATTTTTAATTGGACAATATTTAGCTGTTCTCTGTTTTATTCTTAATGGAACACCTTGTATAATTAGCTTTCCGTCCTCCATATTCCAGAACGGGTAAAACATTGCACACAAACTTTTTGCACATGTTTGAGAAATACGGATGCACAGGATACAGAAAATAAGACAACTTTTTTGAAACAATTTTAGTATTTATAATAAATTTTATAATTATGAAATTTTAACAGAAAAAAATTTAACACTAAGTTTCTTTTAGAATAAATCAAACTACTTTTAGAAAAGTGAACATTAAAATAATAAATAAAACAGTAAGAGAATATCACATTAATAATACATAATATATATCACCGCATATTATCAAAAAATTGTAAACAGAAAATTAGAATCAACTTTTTAGTTTTCAAATATTTCTTTCTTCGTTCTTTTTTTTACAAATTTTAGCAATAGATTCTAACAAAAAAATAATAATAAAAGTAGATAGATATAACAGTAATAAAAACAAATAAATATATTACCGGATGGTATGACAAAAATTATTTACTGATGGAATATGACCCAATCCTTTTCTTTCTTTATTCAAATATTTTTTTTCAAGTTTCGTTGATTTACCAAAAAAACTCCATATACAAAAGTATTCATCCGTACTTACAGTGCCTGCAAAACAAAACAAATTAATTTAGAATTTTATAAGGGGTCTATTTAGTAACAATTACTTTATATATTTTAAAAATATTAGCATCCATTAATTGTTTATATTTCGTAGGGACAGTATTGCTATTTCTTAAACGGCAATATATAAAAAGTTGGTTAAATTAGACAAAAGTTGCGCAGTTCTATGTTTATTTAAATTTTTCCAAGAAATCTTTGATATCTACAGGAAGATTCAAAATATCGGACAAAAAAGGAAAATTGTCATTTCTTTAAATTCATTCGTTTTTAGTCCGATATTTAGAATCTCTCTGTAAATATCAAAGGTCTCTTGGCACCATTTTAATCTTTAACTGCCCGCGCTCTAGAATCTCGAGTAGCTACCCGAAATATCGATAGTCGATGGCTTACTAAATTATATAACTCATCATGGCCTTTCTTTTAAAATAACAGCCGACCTCAGCACTGAATTTATAAATTAAGACTTTTGTACACTACATAAAATCGAATTACATTACACTACAGCAAAAAATAGCAATTCTAACTCGCCAGTTGAACGACTTCATTAAACTTTAATCGAATATTTTCGATGTTTACGTGAGACTAATAAAGAACTTTCTTCAGATAAATTAATTAAACATTCAGTTGTAACTTATAATAATTCAATTCACTCTGTAACTCTGTAACTAAATACACACCGTTATAAAGGGACATATTAGTAACCCCAGACAACACACCAAATGCCAGAGATATTTACAGAATATCTTTTGTGGATATCCAATATATCCACAGGATATCAGAAATATTCCGTGGATCTAATATGGATATGCAAATGTCCGTCTATATTTAGAATATAGAAGATATCCTATGAATTATCCAGCAAAATATCTTATGGGTATCTTCCAGACAATACAAGAAATCCCAGAGATATCCACAGAATATATTTTGTGGATATCCAACATGGATATCCAACCAAATGTCCGTCTATATCCCAGGATATAAAATAATTCGGATATTCAGCAAAATATTTTATGAGTATCTTTTTTTTTTCTTCTCTTGGGCTCTTCTAACTATGTGTCTCCGAATAACACTGAAGCCTATTGGCTTATTGTGTTTTACCACATGTTAGTTCATAGCACCTACTCTATCACCTTTGTACCTTGTACAAGTTTGTACAGATCCTTGGGTGAGTGGGTTCTATACGTTGTTGGATCAACCTGGGGTTGTCCAAAAAGAGCCTGTCTTTTACGATCTAGAGCTTCGCATTCGCACAGTATGTGTTTGGTCGTTTCTGGTTTCTTGTGACATAGTCGGCAAATGAGTTTCCCATTGTACATGCCAATTTTGTTCAAGTGTCCCTTTACTGGGGCGTGCCCAGTCATGAACCCTGTTATCACTTTCAACTGGTTCCTATTCATTAAGAGTAGTTCTCCAGTTCTTTTGGGACATGGTCTGCCTATGAAGGCTTTTCCATGTGCCTGTTTTGGGGTGCTTCCCCAATAGCTGATATGTTGTTCCCGAATCCAGTCATTTATAAAACCCCGGACTGTACTTTTTGGTACTCCTGAGTTTGTGTCTGGTTCCGGTGTTTCTTCTGACCCTCTTTTTGCAATTTCGTCAGCCTTTTCGTTGCCTTCGATCCCTTTGTGACCTGGCACCCAAAATAGTTCTACTCTATTACGGTCTGCCAGTGTTCTTAGTTCTTCGATGCATTCCCATACCAGCCTCGACGTAACTTTCTAACTCGATATGGCCTTAAGTGCCGCTTGGCTGTCTGACATTATTTGAATATGCTGATTTTCGACAGCTCTTTCATTGTTCGTTTTTGCACATTGCAAAATTGCGTATACCTCGGCCTGAAATACCGAGGAATGTATTCCTATAGCATAGCTATGGTTAGTATCAGGGTTTTTGGAGAATACTCCTGTCCCAGTGCCTTCCGCAGTCTTAGACCCGTCTGTATACCAGGTTTGTTCCTGTCGTTGGGCATTGGGCTCCCTTATGGTGATCTCCACTCTTTTCTGTATTAAAACCTCAAAGGGAGTATTAAAAGAGTACCTCTTGGTTAAGTGGTCTGATCTCATGTCTAGCACGTCTCCTGTCACTAACCTTGAGATACTCATGTGACCTGGCCTAATGTCAAGATTTCATAGTGTATTCCCTATTCTGTAAGCACCTAATCTTGCCTCCCCTTGTATAACATAGTAAAGAGGTGGGAGTCCTATTAGTTCTTCCATTGCAGCAGTGGGGGTTGTTTTCATTGCCCCCGTTATTCCGAGGCAGGCAAGTCTGTGTACCTTGCTAAGCCTCGTTATTGCTTTCCTTTGCTGTGTCTTTGGCCACCACACCAAAGCTGCGTATGTTATTATGGGTCTCACCACCTTGTTATAAATCCAATATACCATGTCTGGTTTTAACTCCTATTTTTTTTCAAAGGATCGCCTTGCCATCATTAATGAGGTTTCCGCTCTCCTTGTGGTTTTTTCTAGATGCTGGATCCAGGTACGTCTCGAATCAATCATAACCCCGAGATATTTTACCCTCTTAAGCTCTGGATGCTTGCACCTCTTAGGTTTAGAGGCCCTAGTCCCTCCAATTTCCTCCTGCGGGTGAATGCAATTATGTCAGATTTGTTTGGCCTAATGTTTAGTCCTTCCGCCTCTGTCCATTTTGTTACTATATTTAGAGCCTCTTGCATTCGATCTCTTACTATAGTGTTGTATTTTCCCTGTGCCATGATCACTAGATCATCGGCATATCCCAGGGTTCTATGTCCCTTATCTTTGAGAGTCCTAAGCAGCCCGTCCACTACAAGGTTCCACAGGAGTGGAGACAGCACTCCACCCTGTGGACATCCTCTCGCTACCCGTGCCGCTGTTGTCTCTCCCATAAGGGTTGTGTGTATAGTTTTCTCTCTTAACATAGAGTCGATCCAGGACACGCATGTGTCCTCGATTCCTCTGTGTTTGAGAGATCTAATGATCGATTCAACGGAGGTATTGTCGAATGCACCCTCGAAATCCAAGAATGCTCCCAGCATTACCTCCTTGTTTTCCAGTGTGTTCTCCACCCTTTTTATTAGTTGACGGAGAGCTGTTTCAGTTGATTTCCCTGCACTATAGGCGTATTGGTCTTGGTATATTGGCCTTGGAACCAATATCCCGTCTCTAATATGCAGTTTTTCCAAAGTCTTAAGTACGAAGTGAGTATCTTTAGTAGAGGTTCATAAAAGTAACCAATGATTATTGAATAACGTCGAAAGAAAATAGGAGAGAAAATATTTTCAACACTCAAAATATTTTCAACACTCTGCCTTTGATTTTGTCCATTAAGGAGAAAGTCATCCTTATTAAGACTCTTCAGCAATAAATGGAAATTTTCGACTCCAGTCTCTAATGGAGTCTGATTGAGAAACAAATTTCGATCGAACTCAATTACGGCGGGTTGAGCATGAGTAGATGCGAAAATGGTATCGCCATCTACACTTAGTAAGCAAAATCAAAAATTTACATCTAGTGGATATCCACGATGGTTTGCGTTCGCGCCTAGACTTTGATTATTTAGTGGATGTCAATGGGATATTGAATACACCTTAAAAAAATTAATTTTAAATATGTGAACGTTACTATTAGCCACAATGGCGAGCACAATGGCGTAATTTTTTAATAATTTGCTATATAATTACTATTATTAATGGACATTTGCATGTCTATAAATTACATCTCATGGATATAAAATAAATATCCACCATGGACTGGACATTCAGTGGATATTGGGATGTTCAGTAGATATCCAAAGGATTTGGTGTGCTGTCTGCGACCCTGACCCTCGATCTAAATCTTCATCTTGGTCTATCTTATTATGTACAAAACCATAAAGAAACTTCTAAAATATTATATGAAAAAATTCGAGAAAGAAACGCCAAAGTTAAGGAAAAAATGATAAAAAAAATTAATCAAAATAGGTAGGACCCCCATGACTACTCTAATCAGGAAACTGTATATATTCAGATGAAACAACGCGATAAAAAATTACCTAAATTTAAGAAAGCTGAAATTTTTAAAGAAAAAGGTATCCTCCTGTAAACTAACAAAGGGAAGTACCATAAAAATATTGCCCGTAGACCAAAAAATAATCAAAACGAACTGTTACAGCAAGAGCATAAGGCTGTTGACGATCCTGTTATACCTGACTGTTCGAACGCAGAAGATAGAATGTAATGGTGACGACGTTCTCGCAACACCATTAACAAATCTTCTACTTCCTACACAATTAGGAACTTGTAAATTAATATACACTAAACATACCTTTATTCATTATATAGATTTAAGCGAAGTAGTTAGACAGGTAGAAGTTTTAAAACGTCATTATTTAAGAGTAAAAAATAATGTTAATAAAGTAAATGCTACCAATCCAATTTCATATCACGGATTAGCCGAAAATATGTTGGAAAGAACTGATTTTTTGATTAACTCTCTAGAAGGAAAATTTGAAAGTATTTACCCCCATATTAGAATAAAAAGAGGACTAACTAACGGCTAAGATAAAGTAAATAAATGGCTTTTTGGCAATCTTGACTCCGATGATGGTAATCGATACGAAAATGCAATTGTAATATTACAACAAAATCAAAAGCAAATCGCACAAGAAACAAATTTACAAATATCATTAAATAAAAAACTAATTGACCATTATAATAAATCATTAACTACACTTTGGCAAAACCAAGAAAAACTTCAAAACAATTTAGAAAGATTTCAAGCTACAATGCAAAACAAAATTAATAATTTAGGAAATTATATCATTTTTCAAGGTACCATAAGTCAAATAAATCTAGACTCTCAAAATATGATAGCATTTATCGATAATATTGAAAATGCAATTGTATTCTCAAAATTAAACTCTCTTCATAATTCAATAATCTCATGTAATGAAATAATAGAAATGATTAATTATTTACACAAAATTTACAATAAACATGAAATTCCAAAATTCGATAATATTCT